ATTTTAAAACATTGGCTGTAGTCTTAAATTTTTCTCAACAACACCTGGGAAAGTTTAAATCAGAATCTGAATACTTTATTAATCCCGAAGGAAATTAGTGCTGTCTACGACTATTTTTCTTTCCCTGTCTGGCTTTAAAAAAACACAACAGTATCACTAGATGTGTAGAAAATCGCAAACATTAAAAGAAATATTTAAATCCGAAGACTGAAGATGCCTGGCAGACTAAATGTCACAGGAAAACAATTAGCCTAGTAAAACCAGAATAACAACATGTGGGTAAGTTATCTGGACATCAGAAAGATCATCTTAGATATCCTGTTCTGACTGTCATCATGACACATTTACAATCACTACTGTAAACAGGTGGGTGTTATGTATTTGACAATTTGCCAAAATATCTTCTCCTCTACATGCTAATAAATGAACATTCGTCTTATATTGTCTCATGACCTTTTTTGGATACTGTCAAGAACAATCAGTACAAATGTGTCTACTGAGAACAATATCATTCATGTTTATGTCAAACAGGTAAGTATGTAGATTTCTAGTTATTGCATTTTTTCCAGGCCTGAGCTTTTTGTCTACATCCTTACTTATTACTACAAGCGCATTATAATACAATGTTTCCAGGAGATGTTCTGAAAGCATAAATGTCATGTAGATCTCTTCACTCAAACATTGCAGAGAGCAACAAGCCTCATCTCTAGTGTTTTTAAAAGCTCCTTCATTTCACCTTTCTTGGCATCTCCAATTCACCTATATTGGTCAATTTACCTAATATTGAGTATTTTGTTATTTAATAACCGTGCAGTGATTTGGTTTTTGGCCTGCTGATCATTTGCACTAACAGAAACACAACATGGACAAGGTTTGCGGTCTTTGCAATTTAGAACACCATAAATGCTGTTGACAAAATACTTAGGAAGGAAACCTGTTAAACCTGTTCTGTCTGGTTCCCTTCATGTTTTAGGAAGTAACCAGTAAAAGTGAACCGAGTAAAACGAAACTTTGGTTTAATACATGTAAAAAAAAACAAACAACTTTTCCAACTACATAACCGTCTTTAAAACATAAACAACATTAAACAGTTAAATAGTGTTTCCCATAGATTTATATTCAATTTATGGAGGTGAGTATTTGCATATGTGACCAGTGCAAACGGAGGTGCAGTTGCTCTCTTAAGTGAATTATCACTTCCGTTTACAAGTTTCTATGCCAAAAATAGGTGTAAAGTTATTCGTGAAAACTATGTAACTGAACAACATTACAGGCTATATATTCAGTGAGCCCCATCCTGTAGGTGAACTCCAGCTCCACAGTCTTGGACTGTAGTAGTGGTCATTCTGCTCTGCAGCCTCAGTGAGTTTGGTGTTGCAGCACTTGAATCAGTTTTCTACCTGTTACAGGTCCTTGTTAGACTGGGGTCTAGCTCATAACAGATCTCAAGAGCTGAACATGAACTGTAGTCCATGACAATTGAGTTGGAATCAGTCTAACTGCAGGATGAGATTGCCACAACAGTGTCAAGCAAACCTGCCATTAGGATAAGAGGAAAGTGCTGAGAGTACCTGGTTATCAGCAACTTAACATTTAAAATATGAGCAAAGGAGATTCTCTACTAGTAAACTGATGAGTTGAGTGCCTGTTCAATGTATTTGCAGAGTAAATATTTATTTAAAAATATGCTACATCAATTTCCCCCCATCCTTACTGTATATAAAGCCAATGACAGCACTCGCACAATATCTTCATGATGAGTGCCAAGTTTATCATATAAAAATGTAAATAAATACATCACTTTTATCAGTGACTATTTTTTATTGATATCTCTGTGCAGAGGGATTCCACTATTTCTCACAATTATTTGCGAAAGTTGTGGATCAGAGGACAGAGGACACCATGACTTGAGGAACCCTCCGATCAGTACTCTCATTTGTATACATAAACATTTTAGCTTGAAAGTGGGGGACTAGAGTGCAGCATTTGAGGCTGATTCACAAATTTTTAGACTGACTGCGGCTTAAAGGGAACATTAGCCAATTCTCCATTAGTCTTCTCAAGGTTTCAGGGTTTTCCATTAGGTCATGGAACCTGGTTAGCGGGGTTCCAAGCGATCCAAAATGAAGTGACTGAAGATGTCACATGCCACCGATTGGCTGGTCAGTGGTGTCACTCCATGAGTCATGAGAGTGTCTCGTTCACAAAAATCAAAACCGCCATTTTTGAAACCTGGCAATGAGGGAAATGGCTCCAAAAAACAGCGCCATGGTCCCAGAGTCTGACGAAAAGCCACAGACAGAGCGGTAGGTATACAGCTGCCTCGACATCCACCTTTTTTGTAGCATTCGTATCAGATATTAGAAAGTCACAAGTTGATCAGCAGCATTTATATGATTGACGATTATACACATTAGGTGGTATTCAATTGGGATGGAAAACCAGTCGATCCAAGTAGGTAAATGGAAAAGGGGCTATTGTGCGCAGGTGTACATATGCCTTGTTTTTGTGAGTGCCTTTTCCAGCAATTTCTTTTTGCCCTCACGTGTTTTAATTTGGATGCTACGCACTTCAAATAAATTACATGCAAGACAAAGTTGCTTGCTCAGATTTTATTAATATTAAACTGCACAAATATTAGCAAGCACCAATTCACATTCAGTTTGTCTCTAAGAGAAACTTATATAACAAGTTTGAATGACCTGCTGTGATAATTTAACAGTAATATTTGCATCTAAGATCAAGGTTCCAAAAGTCCCCAACACAGGTCAAGAGGCTTGCTTCCTGTGGCTGCATGGTTTAGGCCTGGAATAATAGTTGACTTTTGACCTGGACCACAGACTGCTGTGGAATTTTTTTTTCTTGAGAGGAAGTGGTTCTGGTTACTGGGGTGGGGGTTACAAATCTCAAGTGAGGATATCTAGTCCTACATATAGCATCACCGACTGTCCTACATAGAAGCAAAACACAATATAGCAAGACATCAGTGCTCCCTGTAAAAATAAGCTATTAATCATTCATGTATAAGGTTAAGGAGGGGGGGGGGGGGGGGGGCGCTGCCCCAGGAGTTCGAATGATGGCTTATGTTGTCTGAAAGCATGAAAATAAATAATTAATTGAACCACACTGACAAAGCCAACAGCACAATTTCCCTGCTTACACACCAGCCTTTTCAGCTCCTCTTCAGGGAGGAGCTCCACCCTAATGCTACTGTCTTGACAGTCGATTTTCAAGTTTGTACTGATTCCACCTATGTTTTTATTTCTCGGGTCGTTAACACTCTTGTTGCATATGTCCTTTTATTCCCCCTCTCCTTTCGACTGGTAAGACAAGAAATGTAAGTGTACTTTTGTTTTTGAAACTCAACATGGGTTTAGTCAGTTTCAATTTTAGCCCTTTCCACTAGTGCTTGCTTGGCTTGCCTTGAGTTGACTCAGTTTTTAGGGTTTTTCATTAGGTAGTAGTACTTGATACCTGGCCGGGGTTCCAAGCGCTCTGAGACAAAATGTGACATCAGACTGAATGCCACCAACTGGCCAGTTAGTGGCGTCACTGATGAGTCATTAGAGCGACCCCTTCACAAAAATCAAAACTGATAAGTTTTTAAACCTGGCAATGACAGAAATGGGTCTACACAAACCAGCATACTGGTCCACTGGCTGTGTTGCTATAAGGACACCAAGCATAAAAAGGTGGTACTTGACTGTAATCTAAAACAACCAAAACCAAGAAGAGTAGAGTCAAGCTCAGTACGTACATGTGGAAAAGAGGCACAAATATAGTTGTTATTATTTTGAAAGCACTGATGTGAAAAACATTTATAAGGTAATGAGTCATCCATGAATTAAGGGTGTTTCTGATTGTAAATCCCATCTTGCAAGGGCAAATACTTGTCCCAGTGGGCGTGCGATCACCACGTGAAATTTACAGGTGCAAACAGGGCTCAGATGGCACCAGACATGCACGCATCAGGCTGTGTACAGCAGCCTCATAGTGAGCAACAAAAAGCCAACTATCAAGAAAAGCACTAGAAGAACTTACAGTAAAATTATGCTTGATTAATAATAGTTAAGAATAAGATTGATTATAAAAATGTATGTATTAATCCTCATGGTACACCAGTGGGACAAGAAACATACCAAAATAAACTTGAAACGCTACAGCATATGACAGGAATTTCAATTTCAAGGTGTTGAAGCAAAGAAAAAACAAATTTTGCCAATGTTTCTATGGGAACAATTCAAGACTTCTTGGCCAATGCACTGTATTTTTACTCTTGATACCTCCAAATCCTAGTTTTCGATGACTATCAGTAACCACCCATAACCTGTGCTACTTCAGTTTCATCACATATGAAAGTCAAACAAAATTTGTCTTTGTTTACATTTGTTCTATGGAAATTTGAAACAAAAGTAATGACTTTTCAATAATTCAGTGAAAGGTCACACATATAAAAAAAATTCCCCCTGTGCTGATTATAACCGCTTACTACATGAGTCATACAGACTGACTCGAATAGACTAACCATGAGTCAGACACATAACAGGAAAAGGCAAGAATCATGTAGTCTCTTTTAAGTTAAACTTCCAGCTGGTTAGGATAAGCAAGCCAAACCCTGCCAGGAATCAGGAGACACACACGCGCGCACACACACACAAAACCCTACAGTCTTCCTCTGTACTCCCCCTTCCTCTCTCTCTCTCACGCCAGGAGGTTGGTATCTAGATTTCAGCCAGAAGCCTAATACAATTCAGAATAAAAATGAAGACATATTTCTAACCAGGATTGAATTGCTGGGTCCCGTAAAACTCGTCTTTCTAACCACATGATAGTCCCAAGAACCATGACTCCAGGCTGTCCTTAGTGTTTTCTATTATACTTTTTAACCATGTACACAAATTTATAACATTTTGTAAATATAAGACTATAAAGACCTTCAGTGACTCAACAGAGTTTCTGAAGAAAAATGTAACATACTCTAAGTAACCAGATAACATTACCTTTTAACAGAGACTGAATGCGCAATTTTTTCCAGAAGTGTATCCAGTATTTGGAAATCCAGTAAATCGTTTGATTTGGCATGCATCTTGTAATCCATTTACGAACTCCTCTAAACAGAAAGAGAAAGCAAAAACCAAAACAGGGCACGGAAGAATTACAGAGAAGTTAGTTTTTCCCTTTGTTCAATCCAAAAAACATAATAGATTTATTCTTCAGGCTCCAGTATGTATTATAAAATCCCACAGAACACGGTGAGTAATCCGTAGTGTAGTCCAAGTGTAGTTTGAGGGTGGCTGTTCCAGGAAAAAGAGGCCCCAGCCGGGAAAGAGTAGGTCCAGGCGGGAGGACAGGCTGCTGGAAACCTACAGCCGGCAGGCTGTGTTAGCTGTGTGAACCGGTCCTCTCTCTACACCATCCCCCTCTCAACAGTACAACAGCCCAGTTGCCAGAGGCTCTTCGCTCCATTGTGTGTCCTCTCCAGGGCCTCCCCAACTTAAATAGTCACAAACAGCAATCAAGATGTATACGAAACTGAGAGGGGAAGGTGAAAGAGAGGACTGAGCTCTGATAAGATCCAGAAGAAACACTTTTTCGTCCAGGTCCCGCTCTCACCCTCTCTAACACAGGCAGACCAGCATGCAGTTACTCAACAGTAAAAAAAAAATGGCTCAACTGCTTCCTCATTCAGCAAGCCTCAGCCCACACACTCCTCCCTCCCTCTCTCTCCCCCTCCCTCTCTCTCTTACTCCTACGTGTTTTTTTCTTTTCACCCCTCCCCACTTCTCCATCAATGGCTTGAGGTCCATGCTCTCTCTCTCTCTGCCCCCTTCCATTACACCTTTAAGACCCCACCCCCTTCCTGTCTTTTTCTCAGTCCATTTCATCACGCTCCACCCCCATACAATCAGTCTCCTTAGAGTAATCTTGTATATGCCTTCCTCCACCAATCTAAGGGCTCACTTATCTGTAGTCCATCATCTCCTCGTCTAGCACACAGACTGATATCATGATGGGACTTTTTTTTGAGGAAAAATAACTATATTGGGCCAGATCTATGAGGCAGATTCAAGTTCCAAATGACTGCTTAAAACAGGAGATAAACTCATGACTAAGTCAAGGCTTGAACTTAAGTGCAGGATTGCAATCATTGCGTGGAAAACTTAAACTGCAAATATTGAGAGTATTACGTAATAATGTTTAGCATTCAAACATTGCATCATTGCAAAAAGTGGGCTGGCTCGCTGAAAAAGCTGTAAGGGTGGAAGTATTGGTGCATTCCATCTGAAGTCAGAAGTCGTATTTCTGGCACCCCACTCAAAAATTTCAACCGGAACACCTCAGACTTCTAACTGGGAGATTTAGAGTGGTGATTGTTAAATCACAGGCCCAACTTTACAATCCAATATGGCGGCAGTGCACAAAACATCTGTAAAACAGTGAAACATTTCAACTGTGTGGCTGTGCAATTGTGACTCATTAAATGAACCATATGCAGGACACTGCCCAGGCTCTAAATGGGATTTTATCACAATATTTAAAGAAAATTGGAAATAATAACGTAGAAAAAAAATTAAGCTATGTTTTATGGATTGTAAGCAGCAGGATTTATACGTTGATGGATGAAGGGCAGCTAGCTTTTTCCCAGTAAAGGTTTGAATGGTAATTACAGGAACAGCGCTGTTGTTTTAGACACTAGAACAGGGATAGGCAACTCCAGGCCTCGAGTGCCGGTGTCCTGCAGGTTTTAGATCCCACCCTGGGTTAACACACCTGAATCAAATGATTAGCTCATTACCAGACCTCTGGAGAACTTCAAGAAATGCTGAGGAGTCATTTAGCCCTTTAAATCAGCTGTGATGGATCATGGACACATCTAAAACCTCCAGGACACCGGCACTCGAGGCCTGGAGTTGCCTACCCCTGCACTAGAAACACATTTTCTTTTACTCAACCTGAGCTCAACATCTCACTAACATTTCCACCTCTTTGCTCTTCATGGTGTGTAAACAGACTCCGACTCCATGTTAAACTACGGCACCGTCATCATGTCTCCTGCTGTTGGGTTAAGAATTGTCAAGAATTTTTTAATAATCAAATTATTAAAATTACTCGATGAATCGTTTGAGCCCTAAACACAGCCCTATCTATGAACATGCTGTAATGGTGTTTTTAAGCACAAAAAATAAATAAATGCAAGAAAACAAGCGCTGTGCTATGCTGCAAGTGATACACGAGAGCGAATAGCTCTACCTTGCTAAGGACTAAAATAAGGCATTTTTCCTTCTCTTCTGACTTTACTACTAGAACGTGTGTAACCTGAGAGTGACATCACTGCCAGGTTTTAAAGATGTACAGTTGAACATGTGGATTTACAACTGACCTTGCTAAGGTAACCACTAATGAAGTGTAATGCTAACAACATCTATCCTTGGGATCCTTAGTATCATTACTGTTACCTGTCTAAGGTAAAGTAACATTCCCAAAGATGCATTTTTGGGCATCTGTCTCAAAATAAGTTTGAACCACAGATGTAACCTATATTGAAATAAGATGCTTGATTTGCAAAATATACAGTGCTGAGGTGCTAATGCTGACCAAACAAGAAAAGAACAAAGAATGTTGTGGAGGAAAGAGAAAAGAAAGCTTAGGTAAATCTCTCTGAGGTAAGAATAGGATACAGGATATTATAAGACCTTTAGTTAGTGCGGCAAGAAGTATCCTCTGTAAAGTGAACGTGTGAGCATTTAAGAGGTTAAAACCCTAGACATGCACTTTTTTTCTAATTAATCTGATGGCATCTTAAGGTATCAGCTTAGTGTCTGAATCTGTGTTCTAGTCACTTTCCATTAGAAGCTGTAAATCTTCCTAACTGATCTGACCTAATATCATTTCACAAGCCTGAACGCATACAGTTATATTAAAAGATAAGCAGACACAATTATTGTGCACGTGCATGAACTGTTCAGCTTAGTAAAGCATGCATCACACAGCAAAAATGTGTGTCTAACACAATGACACTTTATCACACTAATTTTGTTTTTAATTTGCACTAAGATTATATGCTCATCTACACATTTTTATAATTCACAATCAAGAAGAGAACCATAGTTTTCTAAAACTGGACTAGGTGCTGTAAACAACTCTTTCAGTACTGCTGAAGCAAATGCATATTCACACTATTGATATTTGATATTAGTGACAACAGTTAAACTTCACTAGTTCATATTGACAATGGCTGTCACAGATGCAAGTGTGACTAATATTGCAAACATACTGTGGCACTCTTAAATCAGTGACCTGGGTATGTCTGATTTCAGCTGTTAGGAGGACTGGCGTTATGTGGTCTATGTCTAATTGACAGTGTCGTGTGACCTTAACAGACTGGTGTAGCAAACAATGTTAGGCATCCAATGTCTGTTACACTGTGTGATCATGGGATCACCTATCAGTGTAACAGTGAGTGTACAATAGTGAGTTTGAAAAAGCAGTGCAAAAAGTTGACTTTCCAGAGCTGTATAGTGCACATGCGATGAAAATAAACTCTGTGCAATAAATTATTTTGCATACATAGCACTCGTGTGACAGCTTTGCAAGCCGCTTTTTTTTTTGTTAAGCAATGGCTTGCTGTAATGCCGCAGAGTAGTTGTAGTCTGTTGTGATAACAAATTGTTATCATATCAATGTAATTAGCCTTAAATTCCACAACAATTCCCACAGTTCCTTTGTGTTTGCTGCCAGTCCACTGGTAGACGTATGTGCAAATGGCTCAGAGAATCTAATGGAATTTGGAAGCTGTACTTTCATACTGAAAAAAATGGAGTGATATTTTAAACACTTAAATGAGAACGTAAGAAAACAAGGCCATCGGGATAAAAGACACATAAAACCTTCACCAACTGTCTGACTAGAAAGGAAAAGTTTATATAAGTACAGTGTGGCACATCTTTTATTTTGTTATAAAAGATGTTGCTCAGAAGCAGCGAAAAAGGGCAAATCAAGCAATTCTTATGTCGGGGGAAACAAGATATTTAAAAGAGATAATGTTAACAAACACCCAGGGATGCAATCATCTTTAAACAACAACCAGAGCGTGCTGGCACTATCGCCCACTCACTTAAGACCATAGTGCCAGAGTTTTCTTCCTTCCTTTTTTCCTTCTGTTACTCTATTAACAAAGTGGTGGATATCAGCTAGAGCGGGTCCTTCGAGAATGGCAGCTGCTGAAAATGCTCGTCAGGACCACCTTTAAGGACAAGTCCTAACTAAGGCTGTGGTAGGCAACCCTCACCAAAGAGCCATACTGTTGGGAGTTTGAGGTGTGTGGACAGAATTTGACATTCTTCAATATTTACAAAGCCATGTCTGTGCTATGTAAAAATAATTGCCTTCTTATATTTCAGAACATCCCACAATTGGTTGAAATACTGCTTGTACTGAAAATCTCCTTTTCTCAGTGTGAGTGAGGATTTTCTGCACAAAAACATATTAAGAACACCACTCACAGCAGCCTTCATGTGTCTACTACAGAAGATATGGTCAGAATCAATAGGGAAGGCTGCCCATTTGAATAATCCAGGCCAAACAGCAGAAACAAAGGTTGTCCCCTTCTGAGAGGACATGGGAGCCTCGATTAAAGCAGTGGGCAGCAGATGTGCTGGTGGTGTAACCTTCCACACACACATACGGATACACAGAATTATGGATGTGTTGTATACAGACACATACATCTCTCTAAAACACATATACATACATGCAGTATGACACAAACTTCTCAACACATACCTATGTATTACACATACACACTAATACAAGTTATTCTGTTTAAATTTTCACTAACAAATAAAAATGTTTGTCTGAAAATATTTTTGTTATTGTGTGTTCATTGTATGCATTACTGTCGTTTGTCAGTGTGTTTAAGTAATGAACTGCACTGTTTTTGGTTTTTAGAGATTCTAACAGACATTTCATTTTTGGGCTGCAACTTTTTGGTCTGTGCTACATGGAACTCGCAACACTAGTAACCTCTGTAACACCAGTGTTATAAGCTAACAAAGTTAAGCTAAAGCCCTGCTTCCCAGCATATCACTTAAGCAGTTTGCTGGTTTTAGTGTTCAGGCTTGTCAATTTGCTGCTGTGGTAGCTGTCAATCAATTGTCCATCAGCTTTCTCAAGTCTCTCTTCAAGCAGTCAGACAAGCTCTGACTCTACCATCCACTACAGAACTACAGCTGATGACTACAATTCTTCTGTTTCTGAGAGCTGTAGGCCGCTCCAAGAACCTGGAGCAGGTGGCAAACTTTAAAACGTGCTGGGAAGCAACTCTTCACGTGCATGGAATGCATTGAGAACGCATTCTCAACATTTCATGGCTTTATGTTTTTCCTTAAAGCATTAAAAAAAGGCATCCTAGAATTTCAGTCTCCAATTCACCATATACCACCACATTATATAATTTTGTACCAATACATAATATAATACAATATATTATATAATTTTAAGCAAGTTGACATCTCTCTTAAAATATCATGTTCATGAAAAGGTAGGCACTTTAAAAACGGTCAGATGTCAAAACACAAAAACAAGAGCCACACTGTGCAAAGTATACTTGTCAAGTGACTTGTGAGTGCAACGCACAATGTTTATTTTTGCTAAATAAAACAAGCAGCATCACTTTCGTGCAACAGCCAAACAATGATGCTGTTCTCACAGACTCA